CAGAACTACACGGACCCACCTCCACACCAAAAACAAAAGAGGCAAAACGATTGCCACCAACCTAAATATAAATCCTAAACCCTAAATCCTAAACCCTAAATCCTAAACCCTAAACCTACAACCCTACACACCCTTAACCCTGTAAGCCCGGCGTCACAGCAAAGAGCCGCCTTTTGCAGCGCCACGGCCATGGGCACCGAAGCATGTTCACCTTTGGGGACGTGGGTTTAGGGTTTAAGGTTTAGGGTTTTATCGTTCAGGGTTTAGGAACCAGGGTTTGGGAATGGGATTTATCCGTAACCCCCTACAGCTAAGCAGCAATTACCCCCTAACTGATAGGTATAACCCAATTTCTTTAAAAAAAAAGAAAGGAAAAAAAACGGGTTACAGCGGCTACAGCTAGGGCTAGATAGGGCTGGATAGAGCTCGATTTTTGGTTTAGGCGTCACTTTTTTGAAGCGCTGTTTGAGCCGCTGGTTTTAAGGTTTGGGGGTTTAGGATTGCCTCATTCTTTTCATGGGGGACTACTATGCCGGGGGGCAGAGGGGCAGAACATGGCAGTCCCGTCAGATCTACCACACCACACCCAAAACAAGAGCTAAGCATGAACTTTCAACAAGCTGCGATTCAGCTTCCTTGAGGTTAGGGTAGAAAGGCACAGGGGAGCCGAACGGCAGAACCCTAATCCCTAAACCCTAATCCCTGAACCCTAAACCCTAATGCCTACACCCTAATCCCTAAAACCTAAACCCTAAATCCTAAACCGCCACTCCTAAACCCTACTTTTTTTACCTGGAGCTAACGGGCATCATTGGTTTCAGATCTACTCATCTTGCCAAGGGCCCTGAAAACCTACCTGACCCCCAACATCTGAAACACACGCGATTTAGGATTTGGGGGATTTAGGATCTAGGGTTTAGGGTTTAGGATTTAGGGTTTAAGGTTTAGGGCTGGGGGTTTAGATTTTAGGGTTCAGGGTTTTGGGCTTAGTGTTCTGCACGTCAAGTCCAAGCATTCAATTGCTGAGAAGCGTCATGAACCAATGGACATCTACCCACCCGTTTGGTTCCACATCATTAAGAAACCTATGCCCTAAACTCTGAAACCTTAAACCCTAAACACTAAATCCTGAATCCTCAACTCTAAACCCTGAAACCCTGAACCCTAAACCCTAAACTCTACGACCTAAACCTTAAATCCTAAACTCTAAACCTTGGGTACTGCCCCCTCTCACTAACAGTTGGATATTAAATATAATATGGTTATATATAGCCCTTAATAGGATCCCTAACAAAGACTGTCACTGGGTGGGGGCAGTACCCAATCTAAACCTCAGCCTGAACTTTACGGGTTCGAGCCTTGGACCCTAGGGTTCCAGCCTAGAGCCCTGAGGCTCCACCCTGACCTTGCCCACTCAATTTATGACCTGCAGAGTTAATCAGCAAGGTCATTATCTGGGCGGAGGACCTTGCCGACTAAATTGATGACCTTGCCCGTTAATCCCTTAACATTTACATACACATAAATCATAATATGCTAGAGGCGTTTAGGGTTTGGGTTTGGTCCTGGAGTACACCCAGGCACGCCCGAAACCTGGAGGAACCCATGATGGGGGCCCTAAACCCTAAACC